AAAGAAGAGTCAAGGAGATGACCAAACTTTCAACTAAAGATCACTCTCTGTTAGGAAATAACTGACTGGCAAAATAGATACTGAATGAGGGATGTGTAAGTGGCTCTCTTAGCCTCAAGTCTATTTAGTTCTTTGTTGGTGATTAGAAATATAATCATTCCCTCATGCAAAACTGTTTTCACAAACTTGCTATAACTCTCTTTGTATTTGGGGGCCTCAAAAGAGGAAAGAAATGATCCAACTGATGAAGAGAGAATGGGGAAATAAATGGAGTAATTATGAGCTGGAGTAACAAATACTACTTAGGCATATACCAATTATTTCTGCAAAATCCACAATTTATGGAAAGAAATCTCACTGTTTACATATTGATCAATTTTTATTCATACCAGAAGAGAATACTTTGTAATAAAGATTTCTCACTGATTTGGAGGAAAGTGTATCCCAGCAAAGTGCCAGAGGACTGACTGCTTCATCTCAGCGGATCTTATTTTTACCACCACGACGAAAACAACTTTATGTGAAGAGAAAGATCGTCCTGTGTAAATCTCTTTATGAACGAATGAGCCTGAAAAAGAGAGAACTGCCCGGGTTCCGCTGACTCTCTGGCTATTCATGTTAACATGTTGTCTGAAATGCAAGTGGATTTGGGTAACTCTTGCACCAAAGCTGCTGACAAAGATTTATATGGTTTCCCCACAATGAGTCTACTTCTCTTTGAATAGTGACAGTGACTAATGCCGTCCTTGCCTTAGAGGAAGCATTTTAAAAAATCTTATCCGTGTTTTACAAAGGCAGTTTTTAGCCCACAGAATTATAGCAGTGGAAAGTAAACTTAGAGACCATGTCACCCATCTTTTCTCATCATGAATCGGAAAGCTGAGGCCAGAGAGATTAAAGAGAGGCATTGGGCTAATGGTACAGGATTGTCTAGACCTCATGTCCTCTCATTTCAAGTCTGACATCCCTACCACTGCACCGTGCTGTGAAGAATCAGACCAGTTCGATTCCTCAATAAGCCTAAAGGAGCGTGACGGTGTTGCCCTCTGAGATAGACACGCGCTGGTTAAAGTATGGGGGAGCATTCAAGTTACATGTGAAACGCAGGACTTTTAAAAATTTTCAAAATAGGGAAGGAGGTCAGCTTTCAGTTTTTTACTTGATATTTGGCCAAGAACTCTTTCTCTTATGTTTATAATTTCACCCAGATCGTGGGTGAATCAAACCAATAATGCTTGAAAACAAGCCTTTGCTCTTTCTAGTTACCCGCGAGTATTGCCGTGAGCTGGGGCTCAGGATGTCCGTATAAACCTCTGGGAGACTACCCTACATGAGGAACCGTTAATCCCATGGGCATTGGGACTGAAAGGGCAGTCTTCCAACCTCCCACCCTAATTGCCAATGCTGGATAAAATGAAAATATATCTTTATTTTTAATCACTCTCCATTTAGGGTGGTAGTGGCTACACTACCTAAAAATAGAATCTTTTACACCGTCAAGAAAAGATCTCATTTCAAAGTGTTTGGATGTGACCACACAGGGCTAAAGAGCTTTGTCGTCTGTAGCCGTGGTCTAGGGGTCAGCGGAGGAATGAAGGGAAACTGGTGAGGCCCCACACGGCAAAGAGAAGCATCGTTTCTGGCGGGGCAAGAGGAAGATCTCATGGATACATGGGGATTTTTCCTCTTCTGTGATGTTGGTGTGACCCACACTGTTTCGGAGAATTACAGTTTTACGCTGGGGGGTGTATGTGCTGGGGGAGGGAGGTTATCTTCCCGACTATCCCAGAAGGTGAAAAGACTCTGCCACCACAGATGGATGGACAGACCTTGAGGGGCAGGCAGTGACGAAGATGGCCTGGTGAAGATCTCCTTGGTGTTACTGTAGACCAAGTAATTTCAGCCCTGGGTATTTATTTTGTGGATTATAATACCTGCCTTCACTTCTTATGAGGAGAAGGGTGCAGATCACCTCCCCAAGACAGAACGAAGCCCTGTGGAAAAGATGTAAAGTGGTCCAGAAAGGGGGCAGAGAGTGGCAATAGGAAGACATTAGAAAGGCGCTCTTGCTCTCGCTCTCTTTGAAGAAAAGTGAGTCTAGGAATCAGAGGAACCCCAGGAAGAGTTTAAGCTTTTGCTCCTTCCCCTTAGACCAGTGGTTCTCAACCACTGCCCCTTAGGGACCGTCTGACAATGTTGGGAGACATTTTTTATTGTCACCAGTTGAGTCCTGGTGCTGCTGGCATCATGTGGGCAGGGGCCAGGGATGCTGCAGAGCATGTCACAGGGCTCAGGACAGCCCCTCCCAAGGGAGGAGTTCCAGCCCCAAGCGTCAGTAGTGCCGAGGGTGAGAAACCCTACCTTAGTTAACAATAACCACGGTATGCATCCTAATTTGTTTTTTCCTTATGGTCTCATTCTCAATCCATCTATAAAGTGTGTCCTGCACATAGTGTCTTGTAGGGACAGTGCTATGGGAGAGGGTCAGGAAGGGGCTGCATGGGGATATGTGGTCTGCTCACGTGTCCCTGCTTGAGGTCTACGCACATCACATCTAGAAGGGAAAAAGCCCGTGGTTCCAGAAAGTCACCAGCTGCAGAGAGCAGTGGCCCTGTGCCACTGATTTACTTATTGCCACTGAGACCCAAACCCACCTTTTCTCTGTACTCCACTAGGAGTCTAAAAACTACGTTTCCTAGAGTTCCTTGCTGGATAGATTCCCATTAGGTTTCTCTCGTCAGTGGGAGGTGCTGACTGGAGACTGGAAGGTCTTCCCTCCTGTCCCCAGCAGCAGAGGGCAGCTACTGCTCCAGCCTCCAGCTTTTAAAACCACTTCCAGACCCAGCCCTGTGGCACCCCTTTAATAGTTACCAGCAGCTGCCCTATGGCTGCACCTTCTGTGATAAGAGGACCTCACCCTCCTCAGGGAACTGATTACCAACCACGTGACACCCCCACCCTGAACACTAGTGACCCGGGGCCCTTCCTGGTGACTCCTAGGTTCTGGTGAGCACGAATTTCCACTTTGACTTCCTCAACCGTAGGAGTAGTAGCTACTTCCTATAGTTATGATTATTTACAGAACTTCTTTTTGCCCTCTGAGCCTTCCACACCTGTGTCACCATTGCTTGTATTAAATCCCCTCCATTTGAGTGTCCTGCAGGGCATCTACTTTCCTGAATGAACCCTGACAGTGATATACACTTGATATTTCAACACAGTCACTCTTTTAGAATTAGGGACAAGATGGAAACCCCAGTAGGAGGTCATGAAGTTAATTTAAGCAAGGAGGATGGGAGCCTGAACTAAGCAAGGATGGAAAAAAGTTATTAACTTAAAAAAATAACAAAACAGTAGAAAATGCAGAACGTGGTGACTGGTTAGACGTAGAGCTTGGGGGAGAGAAGGGTAATTTTGTGGGTGGAGTTACTATTAGTTCCAACCAGGGATATAAGAGGTTGGAAGAGAAGTTAAAGTCACTGATGCACCCCTGGAAGATTTTCATGTGGCTGTTCTGTGTCAGCTGGAAGTGTGGTTTTAAAGCATAAGAAAAAGAGCCAGACTCTGGACATAAATTTGGAACCAGTCATCACCCAGGTGTTAGCTGAAGCTTTGGACATGAATAAGACTAATTTTAAAAGAAAGAAAAAAGAGAGACCAGAGAATGGAAAGCTGGGTCATTTTTGCCCAATCATTTGGTCCTAAAGAAAAGGAGAAAAAAGGAAAGTAGTTGGAAAAATAAAGATCAAGGAGGCAGGAGTTGGGCAGAAGAGAATGGAGCCATGGAAAGAAGGTAGAAGAACTTTTATAAAGGAAGCTGTCAATGTTGCCACGTTTAGCGGAAGGTGAAGGTGGAAGACCCAAACGTGATCTCACAATTGGGAGGCCGCAGTTGTCTTGGGGAAGGGGGGTGATTTAGTGGGGTAGTTATGGCTGAAAATTGGGTGGGTTAAAGAACACAAGGGAAATAGAAAAAGCTAGTGCTAACTAGTTTTCCATCACAATGGAAGGGAAAGTTTGACAATAAAGTAAAGAAAAGTACGGAGCAGTGGTTGGAGGTCAATGCAGTGCTGAAAAGAGATGGGAGAGACGTGATCGTGTTTATACACGGAGGTGACAGAACAAGCAGGGAGGGAGGATCATGGAAGGAGAAGAAAGGGATCCTGAGCACACAGGAAGGTAGCTGCTCTGGAAGAAAGGTGTCTTTTATTCTGAGATGAGAAGGAGGAATAAGGTTGACATAAATACAGATTCATCTAGTAGACGATTGGTCCATGGTAAGAAGGTATGACATGATGGAAGGGAATCCAAAGAGCTGCTAACACTCATGATTAAGGTGGGAAATCTCTCTATTTTTTGGGGGAAATTCTCTGGCGAAGAGGTTATTGAAATACTAGTTCAAAACATGGGCTTTGGAGAATGACAGGCCAGTAAGTAGTAATGCTGACACTTGCTAGCTGAGTGACCTTGAGTTATTTAATCTCTTTTCTAGGCCTCAAGTCCTTCATTGGTAAATTGGAGATTATAATTGTATCCATGTTATACCATTTTGTGAGATTAAATAAAATCTTTTTTTTTTTAATTTTGGGGTAGACAAAAACTGGCTAAATAACTGGGCAGTTGGCCCCAATCCTTGACTTCTAGGCAAGTGAGGACTACCGAACTGTCTGAGATCAAAAAGCAGCCAAGGGTTAGAGGGTTAGGTGGAGGGCTCCCCAGGTAAAGACTCCTCCCCTTGCCCCGGCATATCGACAGCAAGGACTGCAGATTGGTGTAGTGTCCAGAGGACCCTAGACACAGGGGACCCTTGACCCACTTCGGCCATGGGTTGTAGAAGTTGGCTGGGTAAAGGACAGGATCCAGGCCACCTGGTTGGAGCCAGACCTCTGTCCAGAGGACTGGACTGGGCAACGGGTTTTCTAAATCAAGCCAATCCTCTAGTAGTCTGGCAGCTCATAGGTACTCATATTTAATTGGACTTTAATAGAAGTGAGAGAGGGGAGGGCATAGCTCAGGGGTAGAGTGTGTGTTTCACATGCACAAGGTCCTGGGTTCAATCCCCAGTACTTCCGCTAAAAATAAATAAATAAAAAACCTAATTACCTCCCCTCTCCACCAAAAAAAAACCCCAAAAAACAAAAACCACAAACCAAACATAAAAGAATAAAGCAAATGCTATCATTAAAATAAACTGAAAAAGAAAGAAAGAAAGAAAGGAAGGAAGGAAAGAAAAGTGAGAACGAAGGTAGACGTGCAGATATATGTATAGACCAGACCCGGCCAACTTGGAAACAGCATCAGGAATCACTGCAATGTGGCTGTAACCCAGGAGACTGGCTGGGACTGACAGCAAAACACTTCTGAGAGCCCCATGGGAGCCCATCAGTTCTGGTTGGCCCCGTGGATATGCACTGGCACCCAAAATCTAAGCCCAGCTCAGAGATTGCCACTGCTTCTGAGACACATCCCACCCATTTAGATATTGGCAGCTTGCAACTCGGCAAAGATGGCAATGTCAGCACAGGAGCCTTCCCAATTCCAATGGAAGTGTCAAAGGGAACCCGAGAATCGGGAACTCCTGCATCACTGTTGGAAGCTGGAGAGGAACACTTTTCCCCACGCAGAAGCATCAAGGAGGTTTGTGCACATAGGACCCTGTCTGTGAAAGACGTGAGGACTCACTGAGAAAGTGGTACAGCCTTGAGAGAAAAACAGTGGATATCTTGAAGGCATTTAATGATACCCTGAAACCTAGGGTCCACGGTGGGAGGGCATGGCAGGTTGTGGGGCTAGCAGGGAACGTCTCCTTTGCAGGTCCAGAGAATCTAAGGGCAGTCACTGCTTGGGGCCCGGCCCAGCCCTTGTGGCTGCACCATTTGGCTAGTAGCTGGGCTTTGCAATGTGGGATTCCCCACAAAGGCGAAAGGCTCCTTTTCAACCTGCTTTGTGGTAGCCAAGGGAACGGGGTCCAGTCATTCCAGATCGAGGTCCTGGCACATGGCTTTGCCATATGCAGAGAAAGTTACGACCTCGGCTCACGTAATGTCAGAGGAAATTCTCCCATCAGCATGTTTAATCACTGAATGGGTAGAATGTCATCTAGCATAAGGTCTAAAGGAGGATTAGAACAAAAACCAAGTAGACTGCGATGGGATCCAAGAGAAATCTCTTCACTGTTTTGCAGAGAATTAACAGGCCAGATAAAATAGTCATCATTCAGGGATGAATAAACAGGAAAAATAAAACCTCATTATGAGGCATATGAAAAATCTTGTAACTTTAAGAAATGAAAATATAGCACTCGAGAGGCAGAGGAAGAGCATGCTTTTGAAAAAGATTTACTGCAGGAAATGGGAATAAATTTTAAACAGCATATGCTTTGTGATCTAAACAACATTCAAGGACCCTGTGAAGCAGGAGATGAAAAGGAGAGAAGAAAATATATTAAGGAGAGAAGGAAGCTGGTTAAGAAACCAGAATATAAAGTAAGATGAAAGAAGGAAAAATGTCGTAAAACTGAATATGAAATATCAAAATGGAAAATGCATTAGAAGTAATAAAGGGCTTAACTGGCAATGCTTGTAATGAGGTCAGTCGTATAGAGGCCAAATTTGAAGCACTCGTCCAGAATTAAAAGAAAATTAAAATGAGATAAAAATATTGAGAGAAGAGATGATAGATTCAGAGGGCAAAGAGTGGAAATCCAACAGGAAGAAAATACAGAGTCCTGAAATACCTGAACAAGTACAAATATAGCAATGAGTCTAGAGTTTATAGAAAATAACTTTCTGAACTTAAGAGGTAAGCAATTATTCAAATCAAATGGGCTTGATGAATATTAGGCAAAATTAACATAAAGAGACCAGTTCTCATGGAAGTTTAAAATTTTAGTTTTTCAAAAAGAATCCTGGAAGACAGGAAAAAACAGAAATGAACAAACAAAAACAATAAACAACTTGCTACAAAGAAAGAAAAACCAAGATCAGAGTTAATAAAGCAACATCTTCAGAGGCCCAGTTTGGAGGAAGAACTAAGATCTAAGAATGTTAAATCTGGACACTTCATCATTCACATTTGAAGTCAATTAAAAAATCTTTCTCTGATACCAAGTGTCAAAAACTAAATCAATCAAGTTGTCTTCATGAAAAGAAAAATCAATGTTTTCCAGACAATCATACAATGAGTCCAGTTTTTAAAACATCTTCTACAAGGAAGATATCCTTTTTATTAAAAGGAATGGTAGTATGTACTGAAAATTTTTAATATGGATTCAAGTTTAAATTGTTGCAAATATACTGTAGCTACAACAGAGATTGTAAGCTTCATCATTAACCATTGAAAGAGAAGATAAGGAATGTAAAAAATAATATTTGGCAAGTAAGAAGTTGGGTCTAAATCCCCAAGTAGTGGAGAAGACCTTGAGGAAGGAATGGCAGCCTGAGTTAGAGGACAGTGGTAGGCACTGATTCTTTCCCTCCAATGTGGACACAGAAATAGAGTTGTTTGATTTTTTAAAGGTAACCTTTACATTAAAAGTAGGATTAAATTAAAGGTAACCAAAATTAAAAGTAGGATATATTTTATACTTTTGCATCCTAAAAGATAAAGATAAGAGGAAAAAAAAAAAGAAAACTTGTGTAATAGCATCAAAGATAAATACCAAAGGAAATAGCAAAGAGCCTGAAACAAAATGTAAACCAATTTAAGAAAGCACAAACGTGTAATTTATGACACGTGTAATGACTTTATCCTATTAAGTGGCAGAGATTAGGTCATAATCAGCAATAGTTGTCTATCAATGATATCTAAGAAAGATTAACACAAGAAAATTAGAAGTATATGATTATATTAAAATGTATAAGAAATACTCCCCCTACTAAACAGTTGGAATTACAATCATATAAGATGAAGTAGATTTTCAAAGAAAAAATTTAAATATCTCATAGATAATCTTTTTTTTTTCAGTGTTGGTAAGAAGATCCCAAATTAAAATGTATCAGGATTCAACTTCCATGTGCCAAATCACAGAGTATATAATAAGCATACAGCAAAAACTGTTAGAATTAGAAAGAAGAATTGACTGAAATGAATTGCACAGTAAGAAAATGAAGCATTTTTCTGTTCTTAAGAGTTAAAGTAGACTACAAAGAAATAGAGTATCTGATAATATCACCAATTCAGTCGGTTTGAAAATACATATGGAAATTTAATAACATCAAATAGAAGATATATTCTCTTTTTAAATATTTGGAAAGCACTTAAATTTTTATATATATTTGATCACAAAGAAAACATCAGAATTTTCTAAAAAAACAAATCTATATAGACCATATTCTTTGATCAAAATGCAACAAATTAGTATTGAACAAGAATAATTTATTAAAATTTTTCCCAAGTTCTTGAAATTACAAAACAGTATTCTTCTATATAACTCTGGGTCAAACAGGAGAGTTAAAGTGTAATTACAAAATACTTAGAAAATTATCATTGTAAGCACACTACAAATTCAAATCCATAATTGGGGAAAAAAACAACAACAACCCATACTTCTATGTTTAAATAACAAAAGGAACAAATGAATTGAGTCATTAACTTGAGAAGCTAAGAGCAAAACAAAGCATGACTAAGGGGGAAAAAAGAAGAAATTATTACAGATAAAAGCAGAAATTAAAATTTAGTAAACAAAAAGGGAAAGAAAAGAAAAATAAATCCAAATGGTTCTTTTGAAAAAAGCAGACAATAAATAGAACAAAAAGAATAAAATATACAAACCTCTATTTATTCTAATCAAAGAAAAAATAAGAGATGAGGGAAAAATTAGGGAAAAGAAAGGAGGTGTCATCTTAGACATGAAAACATTTCAAAATATTGATATAATAAATCATTCTTATTCATATCAAATATGAATATTAACTGCTAAAGAAGCAGAAAGCATTCTTAAGAGGAAACCGAAAAACAAATGTAAATATTTACCTATTCAGAGGATTTAAAGAAAAAGTATTTCAGATTTTAAAGAACAAATAATTTTCTGACTTATTAACTCCTCAAGGGCATTAAAATATGTGGGGAAAAAACCCAGTTCAAGCACTGGCAAAACTCTAACACCAAAAATTAATAAAACTAACATTAAAGAGAAAATGACAAATTAATCTCACAAATATTTAAATTTAGATGCCAAAATCTGAAATTCAGCACTGCATTTATCCAGCTGTTTATGAAATAATGAAAACAAACCCCCAGCAGGTTTTCTTTCAAGAATGCACAGATAATTCAATATTATGAATTCATTAATATAATTTTTCACATCAATATGTCACAGAAGAAAAATAAAGTGATTATCCCAAAATATGCCAAAAACTATTTTGGAAAAAAAAAATGCAGCATCGATTTTTAGTAAATGAAATCTTCTTTCTCAAGTTGGTACAAAGTATTTATCTCAATATATCATATCTAACAATAAAACTCTATAAACATTCACTGTAAAAGAAGAAAAAAAATATTAAGATGTTCTTTATTGTACAATTATTTAACATTATTCCGCATTTCTAACCCATAAAATAAAATCTAGCCGAGGGGAAAAAAAGTTTAATTATTCAAGAGGAAGGGGAAAATATTACTGTTTACTGATATTATGACAGTCTATGCTGAAGTCTCAAAACTGGGTGGAGGGGGAAAGCAGTTAAAAAACTAATAGCCTTTTGAGAAATTTCTATCTAAGCGATCAATCATAAACCAAATAAACAAAAATCAATCGGTTTTACATATACAAGCAATACATAATTAGAAGAGTTGATTTAAGCATCTCACTCATAATGAAATGAATAAATTATCTAGGAATATATTTAATAAGAAATGTTTAAGACCCACAGGAAGGAAACTACAAAATTCATTATGGATTTAAAAGAAGACGAATAAATGGAGAGAAACACTATACTTTGCTCCAGTTTGTTTACTGCGAACTTGTAAAGCTGTCAGTTTTGAATGGGGCCCAGAGCAACACAACCTAGTTCCACTCAGGAACACAGATGCAAAACTCCCCAGCAAAACAATACCAAATCATGTCCAGAAGCAA